CGCGCGCGCGCACACACACACACACACACACACACACACACACACACACACACACACACACACACGCACGCGCACACGCGGACACGCATACACACACACACACGCACACACACACGCACGCACACACGCACGCACACACCTATATACACACGCGCGGGCTTCTACGCACGCACGCACGCACGCACGCACACACACACTCGCACACACACACATGCACACACACGACGCATATATACGTACAGATAGGGGTGAAAGGGACAGAAGGACACGGAGACAGAGAGTGGAAGAAGGGGTAGGTATAGCTGGGGCCACTGAGTGAGCTCAAGAGGGGGCGTGGGAGGGAGAAAGGAGGGTGCAAGAAGGAAACTCCACTGCAACTACTAATCAGATACATCGCTGCAGGGGGAAAACAGGTAGATACGGTCTCTATTATACCATAGCATACTATGCCAGCGGTACGGGATTTAAATTGCATAGCACACGTACACGCGCGTGCGCACATGCACGCTCACCCTGTAAAAACGAAATGAGTTTTTCCCGGACGATGAGGTTTCTATGAATGCCTTTCTACATAAGCGAAATGATAGTCGCAAACATTCCTCCAGCAGTTTCATACAACTGCCACGTCATCCATCACGTATACGACGAACTCGCACATACAGAATCTCGACTGCAGTCAATTACGTTTACCGTGCACCACATATAGTAAGCATTTCTCATATCCTTCCATCATATATCCCTCCCGTTGTACTTCCATAGATTTTTTATTGCATCGATCCACTACTTCTAGTACATATCAGCGCTGCTTTCTCATATCCTGCTTAACCTTTACCTTTACCTTTACCTTTACCTTAACCTTTACCCAATTCGTGATATCAACCACGCGATATGCAATACCTGACTCCCTAAGCCAAGACCGTAAGAATTTTCCTAGCTAACCTCGTTTGCTTACGCCAGGTCCACGTTATCGTAACTTTGGCCACTGTATAACATAGCTCTTCTCGGGTTATGTTTAAAAAGGAAACAAAAATAAATGCAATTCGTGTTCGCTGTGCATAATCCCAGGAAATAAATAATTCAGCAATAGTTTTATCGTAGATATTTGTTTAGATGCAGCAGGCAATGATTGGGGTTCGATATATAAGCTAGTGAGTGGCGATGATATGCGATGATAGTATCGATAATAAATAACGAGCAATGTTCAAGTCGGCATTATTTCCGTCAGGGATTTGAAGGGGAATTTACTGACCTGCAAGAAAATGCATATATAATTTTTTACCTTTAGAAAGTGCTGAACCTAAACAATATAAAATCCTGATAAAATGAAACTGTTCGCTATAGGTGTGGAGGCATTCTCACCGGATTATACATGAAGAGTAAGTATGTAGTCATAATTTTATTACCGTGTACTTCTAGGAAGACCCATGTCCCATTTCCTGTGTCAGTTCTGTCTGGCTTGTTGAAGAACTCTACTTTGCACTCATACCATCCCTGCAGTAAATAAAACAACAACTGGTTGAATGTGTCCACGCATGCAAATAACGCAGTTTACTAATATCACACGCGTAAAATCATGCATCAATATACGCGTAAACGCTTGGAAATTACAAGCTTGGAGACAGTGTAAAGGGTTGTGAGTCTAGATGTCTATACGTCCGATACAAAGCGCTGGGAGTAAGAGCCTATCCTGCATGTTTTTAACCGGTGCACTGCCTTAGCGCACGATCCATTCAATAATTGTTCAATGCTCACGATTCTCTCGCCTAGCTAAGGCATTCAGTTTCAGCAGATATCACTGCAGCCTGTCACATTATGAGCTGCACGCGGCCATTCGGGTCACCTTCCACAGCATAATAATCATTCCGCAGTGGCGCGCACAGATCTCATCTAAACTGTCCCAATTTCTTTTATATAGGTGCGCTGATGGTGCAGGCTTTGCTCGCAGCGTCTCGGCAAGGGAATTCGCAACTGCTAAATACGCTACCTCGTCCTCGATCCTGAGGTTAGCAATTCTTAGCGAAGCATCATCCACCAGGCTCAAGCGATCGATGTAGTCCTGGTGTTCGTGCGGCACGTACGGTGGCAGAATGATGTAGACTGGCTTCTCAAACCTGTCAGCAGTGAAACAATGGTACACTGCAGTGACGTGTATTGGTGTGTGTGTGTGTGTGTGTGTGTGTGTGTGTGTGTGTGTGTGTGTGTGTGTGTGTTTTGTGTGTGTGATATGTGTGGGTGGTGGTGTGTGCGTGTAGGTGCCCGCGCGTGTGAGTGTTTGTGTCTGTATGTGTGTGTGTCCTGTGTATTGTTGTGTCGTGCGGGTGTGCGGTGCGTTGTGTGTGGTGTGGTGTGTGTGTGTGGTGTGTGTGTGTGTGTGTGTCTGTGTGTGTCGTGCGCGCGCGCGTGTGGTGTGCGATTGTGTGTGGTGGTGTGTTTGTGGTGTGTTGTGTGTGTGTGGTGTGTGTGTGTGTGTGTGTGTGTGTGTGTGTGTGTGTGTGTGTGTGTGTGTGTGTGTGTGTGTGTGTGTGTGTGTGTGTGTGTGTGTGTGTGTGTGTGTGTGTGAGGTGGCTAAGGAGTATATTTGCAACCCCATCTTATGGCCTAGAAATGTACAGAGTCTATCCGTGTGTAGAAATTGTTGTGTGCAGAAGTGCAGCTTTGAAATATTCCCAATGGATATGACATTTATGAACATCTGATGCATGAGTGAGATATGTATTGGCAACGAATTTACTAACGGCTGTAAATATATATAATCGAAACAGTAAAAATTCTAAATTTTCTGCAGAACCCACAGACCAATGGCTCATAATAGGAACATAGAAGTTTCTTACAGCACGTCCATAAAATATTCCATAAGGCCACGTAAAAATTACTATACAGGCAGTTGTGCTATACTTAAAGTGGTTCACTTGCTCATAACATCTGCAGAAGGCAAGAAAAACTTTTAGATAACCAAGATGGCGAGGAAGCGAGTGATCGAATGTAACGTAGTACAACCCCCTTAACATAGGAATCGTAAACTATATCATATTCATATTATCAGTTAAACCTGGATTTAACTTGATAAAACTGGGCTTGGGATACCACCAGAACACTTTTTTTTTTTTTTTAGCTTTCAGCGCTATTTGCAGTTAAATTATGGCTTTCGGGGTTTTATTGCCCAATGTGTACTTTACAAGTAATTCTGCACGATGAATATCCTTATATGTCCGTTAGTTGAACTTATGAATCTGATTTCTATATATATGTCTCGGACCTGCACGTTGTAAAATCCAATTAGTAAAAATCGTAATTGTAAAAATCACAAACAGTGAGCTACTGTCTGTACTGGCTGTAAATTTCTAGCTGAGGCAAACTTCGCATAAATTTCTGTTAAAGTCGAGATCGCACAGTCAATATCATGATATATGTATATATATAATAAAAACAAAAATTTGTACTTTATGTTGCTAATACATGAATGCATGGGGGATATATGAGAAACTAGCAATAAAAAAAGGATTTCCCTGCGGGATACTGAAATTTAAGTATCCCCATCCTGACATAATTTTGAATAGCGCAAATATAGGCAAAGAATAGGCAATAGGCTATAGGCTATAGACTATAGGCTATAGGCTATAGGCAATAGGCTATAGGCAAAGAATAGGCGTGCTCTAAACACCTTGCTATTATCGGTTGTTTTTAATTAGCAGTGATTTACTATATATGGTATGACTAGTTTGATTAGCACTTACACAAATAATTAAAGTTGATTTCTTTTTACCAGTCTGATACTGCTGTACGCATTAATTTGTTTACTCCTGCGGCCAAGACATCTTAATCACAAAGCCCAGCATAACATTCTTCAGACACCTTTAACAATCATGTAGACCCGAATACCGAACAAGATCAAAAATTGAGCTACGAACAAATAATTCTAGGCCAATTTCCTTGTGTCACTGTCGAGTCCTAACAGTTAAACCAACTCCGTGACCGGTTGTTAAGTTATTTCCTAAGATTCAATAGAGTACCTTGCCTATACTAACCTAAAACTTCTAAAACCTTTCTAAACCTAACCCTGCATACTATAGCCTCAGTGTGTAAAGCTCACCTATCTGTTCATGGCACATTCATTCCACGATTCAGCAGCAAGAGCTAGTGCGGGTAAATAAATCCGCAAATGCCTCTATGGTCGCGGTACCTATACTTCCTATGACCTTGACTGTTTCTGACACAGACGCAGTCAACATTACAAAGGATGTTTTTAGCAAATCTGTTACGCTGTCAGTTAACAGTTCAATTACACCACTAGAAAAAATGAACATGAAAATGCCTTTCCTAATTACTGTTACTCTGCAAAACAACCCATTACATGGTTTTTCCATCTTAAGTACGGCTCTTACTTCTTGAAGACAGCTTAAACAATCGGACATGCAAATAGCACCTACGTACTAGCGCCAGTGGCATAGGCCTCATCTCATAGTATCAGGAGTAAGATATATTATATTATATTATTATTATATTATAATATAAGGCCTATATTATCTTACTCCTGATAGTATGATAATGAAAAAAACGGAAGACGAAACGGAATCATTAGGTGAACGTTCTGCATGATATGGAACCACTGCCACGTGCACGGGGGTATGTTTGCAAACGAGTGCAAGTTTCTATACATTATTCAGAATCAATCATCGTCCAGTATATATAAATAATTTCTGGCGAAATATGAATGGCTATTTCGCTGGCTTGTCGATCGCAAATTGCGCGATGATAATTGCCAAGAAAATAAATTCCTTATCCAAGGTGAGAGAATTATGCTTGAATATACACATTCTCTGCTACACAACACAGTTCTGCACACTGCAAACATGAGAAACGAAAGAAGTAAATTGATATAGGTGTTATGCCTGCCTGCTAATGCTATAGCGACATGGTTATTTCCACAGACATTGATTAGGATATACGAGTGATAATATAGGAACATAGGACGTGCAACCAGCGCATAGTTGATTTTACTATATAGGCATGTGTTGTTGACGGAATCCCTTTGATTATGGTTAGATACTTTAGTTTTGTAGGTTCTATATTTATGTACGAATAATTCAGTTGTAAACACAATAATGACTACTCTTCGTTCAAACCTCGTGACCTGTACTGATCGTGTATGCAGACATCACATTTTCTTCATTGGCTGCGTTTGCATCCGCATGCACCTGCTGTCATGCAATGTTCAGATTGCGTGTAAGCTGGCTCATCATTATATGTCTCACCTCGGATTCCTCATGTAGCGAATTGTGAAGAATCATCCTACTTGCGTCACCAATTAGCTGTATATCGATCACACGAGTGTAATCCTACGCTCTATATGGCGTGAAGCTGTTAAATAACGACTGTAGCTTTATCCATATAGTATCCGTCATATGCTGGCAGTACGTGCTAACCACTCTACCCACCCTCACACCTATACCCACCCTCACATCCTACCTATATATACTTACCCTTTCCTATCCCACTGTACCACGAAGTCAACTCTGTCATTCCCTGGAAAGTGAACGACACAGGGCAGTGTTGCACTCTCGCCAACGATTCCTGGCACAGTCGGACTACCAGCAGGGGGCGCCCTTCGAACGCGACCTACAACAATGAGACAGAAAATTCATAATGATATTCAGGCATGTATGTAGACACAAATAGGCACGCACGCATGCACGCATGCACGCCCGCCCGCACGCACGCACGCACGTACGCACTCACTCACTCACTCACTCACTCACTCACTCACTCACTCACTCACACACGCCCACGCACGCACGCACGCACGCACGCCCACGCACGCACGCCCCCCGCGCGCACACACCACACACACACATACACACACACACACACACACACACACACACACACACCACACACACACACGCACACACACACACATAAAAACATCTTGTTGTCTTGTTGCCTTTCTGTGTGCGCCAGCAGCGCTCGACAGCATCAGAAATAATGAGTCCCCGTTTTTGATCATCATACATCTCACAGCACGCATCATCTGTGGTGCGACTTGACATGAAATGGTATCAGGTTCCTTTAGAGCCAACAATAGGATTGTAAACTACAACGCCAATGTGCGCCATAACCTCAAACGCAGACGAAAGAAAGGAAATGACGTATTACATGGCTTCCATAGTAAATGCCCCAGCCTTGTTAGCAAACTAGCAATACTCGAAGAAAGGGCAACGCTGGATGAAAGCAGGAGGCGGCGATTGAATAAAACAGTGCATTTCCGTGTCACACAATAAATTGTGACATAACACAGTTATACACAATGAGCAAACGTATTTAGTAAGCAAGCGTTCAGAATGTACCCGGGAAATCGCGTGGCTGGTGAATCATTGCATGGAGCAAACTAGAGCACTCGGAGAGCACAGACCTCCGCTAAGGCAGCTGAATTCTCTCAATGTGAAATTTTTATTAATTAATTAATTAATTAATTAAGTGGAAAAATTAATTAATTAATTAATTAAATAAATAATTAATTGGATCCGGAATTAGTGCGAGCGTGCAGGTGGGGGAGGACTGTGGTTGCCCCTTAGCCTGTGGTTGCGTGTTTGTAAGTCTACAGCCAGCACACCTAGCGGAAGTGAACTGAAACGTGCATGTTAACAAACCCACAAACCAACACTCAAACACACGCCGATGAAAACATTACCTCGCGAGGTAACCAGCGAGCAGCCAGACCGTCCGCACGCGTGTATAGCTCGCTATAGCTACCTTCTACTCACGCCTACCTTCGTCAGGCTCATTAATTTCTCGTTGCCAAGACGAGATGACGAGACACACGCGCGCGAGATCGAAACGACGAAGACTGAGGCGATGCAAACGTATCAGCTTTCCCACACGAGCAGCATCGCTCACCTTCTCTCATCTTTAGCGCAGGGGTAGAAATTAACTTTTAAACACGGGAGTCCAACGGAAACCTACAACCTATACCCACAAAAAGAGGGAGTCCGCAGCAAAATGACGGAGTCCGCAGTCTGAAGTTCAAAATTAAAGATATTAACAATAACGCATGTGCATATTTTAAAGATTCATGCGGTTGCATGTCTGCCAAATTTTCTTTGGACATTTGCTGAAAAACGTACAGTAATTCTGCGAGGCCGTGCTCTGGAACGAACTAGTTAGTATGGCAGAATTTTCAGAGAGTCATACGGACTCCTGCATATATGTCAAATCAGGGAGTCCGACAGTAAATCAGGGAGTATTTGACTCCGGACTCCCGTTAATTTCGCACCCTGCTAGCGTCACACTAACCTTACCCCGTATACACTATAAGCCAGGTGCTGCTTCTTACTTACTTTGTCGTACGCAGCGACAATTAATTTGCATAGAGAGATTCAATTTGTGTAATATGTTTGCGTAGCTATGCGCTCCCATCATTGCCGCTGGCGTGGATCAAGTGAGATATGAGCCATTCTCTGCGGATATATCAGAAAAATGTTCCGACCCAGCGATGGTCGTACGTACTACAATAAAGAAGCTAAAGATCCCTCGTGCGCGCCTAAATTGCCTGGGAAATTTCGGAAGCAAATTGGAAAAGACAGCCATGAATAATGAAGACACTGTGGTCATAAGAAGGGGACATTAGGGACGCAATTCCTCGTGCTGCTGCTACCTATGTAGCGGTGAACGCCAACAGGGGGCGATCGCCGTACAAGAGTGGAATGAATACCGTCAGATGCCGATGACTGCATCTAAAACAGAAAAGAACCCGAACTTTTAGTTACGAACGACGCATGATGACAGCACGACACTTTGGCTTCACAACCGCCGGACTCGTGGTTATTCCAGTTTACCGTGATACAAATAACGGCCAGGCTCATCTCTCTCTCTCTCTCTCTCTCTCTCTCTCTCTCTCTCTCTCTCTCTCTCTCTATATATATATATATATATATAATATAAATAACTGCAGTAGACGCGGACTGACAATGAACAGGCAGGCTCTTAGGTCCCGTGAGACGCAATCATCCCACAGTTCACACATTGTGCGGATGCTATTCTACAGCGCAGTGAAATAAATCGATATGAGAACACACTCTGGCACACACAACACGCCTGGAAATAAAACATAACCTCGAAGCACGACAATACTAAGTCATTGACCGTATTAGTGTCTTTGTTGCGAATCAGAGCGCACTAGCACCCCGCCTCCCGAAGAAAACCTAATCAAGTGGGTGGATTTTATAAACATATGCTATAAGGCAAATCAAATTTGAAAAAAAGTTGTGTCATAAGACATGTGGAAAACAACTAGACTTTAGCTATTTACGGTATATATATATAAACGATATAACCATGCGATATATATACATTATATCAAGAGCGTATAAAGAAGGAGAGCTTACAACGGTGAAATGCTGAAACCATGTTGCAGTATTAGTCGAATTAATAAACTTTCCCCTGTTTTATTTTGACGATTCTTTGCAGTATTATTGATAAGCTGTCCTAGCTACATTGTTAATATAAAACAAACCGCATGTCCCTACGATGCCCCTACGCTGAGATAATGAGCGGTGAACATCTGGTATTTTCGCCGAAAACCGACTCGAGATACCTGCTGACAGCGACTGTCTCTCGCTTTGAGATAACTTCGAGAAACCTCGCGTGTTTCCGTCAATGATTGACAAATGGAATAAATGACGTTAGTTATTGATTGCCATATAGTGATGACGCCCACCTCACGCCCACCTCACGCTGGATGTATAGTAAACTCTGCAGTACCGACGGAATTTTGCACAAGGGAGAGATAGTGATCCGCTAGGGGACGGCTCTGATTGGCTAATTTTGTCTCTTATTTATTTTATTATTTATTATTTTTGGCTAATTTTGTTTTATTTTAGAATTAGAGATAAGGTTAGGATTAGGGTTAGGGTTAGGGTTAAGGTTAGGGTTAGGGTTAACTGATTTCTATATCCACAACTTATTTCTACATTCACTATCTCTCCCCTGAGACCTACTAGTACTGACGTAAGTCCGCGCTACCATGGCGCTAAACAGCGGCGACCGGAAGCAACACACTGGTCACAAAGCGAGAGACAGTGCTAAGAATGCTCCAATACTGCAAAGAATCGTCAAAATAAAACGGGGAAAGTTTATTAATTCGACTAATACTGCAACATCGTTTCAGCATTTCACCGTTGTACGCTCTCCTTCTTTTTACACTCTTGATTATATGTACATATATAAGTTTATACATAAACGTAAATTATAAAATAAAATAAAATAAAATATATTGTATATACACTAGAGAAATGTAAGCTTAATATAGAAATATACTATAGCTATATATATAGATATATAATATATAGATATATAATATATAGATATATAGATATATAGGTATATAAATATATAGAGATATAGCTATATATTATTATAGAAATATAGAATAATAGAGAAATATGCCTTCGTGTTATACGGTTATAGGGACAGAAGGAAGAACATTTTAAATCCTGCCAATTTTAATTGTAGCAAGCTACCCATATTTTTCGTTTTTTATCAAGACCACAGAACTGAATTGGACATTTTCCAGGTTATATCCTCTGAAAAAAAAATTCATCACTGGTCGATATCTCTTGATGCCAAGCCGGAATGGTTAATTATGTTCAAAGTATGAACGAAGCCGCACTTAAATTGTGTGTAATTTTCAAATTTAATAAATAAGTGATCTTAATGTGGCAAGCTTCTAGCTCCTCTGCAAACAATCCCGTGACTCATTATATAACTCTATACTAGGAATTATAATGGCAAAAACCTGGAGTGCATGTTAATGCTCTGCGGTTTATTGCCGGCAAGTGCTGCGGGAAAATCGGTGTGATAATATTACGAAATTAATTCGACTTTGATGTAAAAAGGTACATCATCTCTGAACGCGATATCTCAACAATCACGCGGCTTAAAATGTAAAGCGCCGCGTGGGTGACACGCCACGAGATTTCTGAGCATTTCTGAATAATTATTATCAAGAGCGTATAAAGAAGGATCCTTCTTTATACGCTCTTGATATTATATATGTATGCAGCATCTAGAATATCCACACAATCATCTGTCGCTTCACATATGCAATATGGCTCACAAAGAAAAAAAACAAGCATGTAATTGACAAGGAAAAACGATAGTTTTAAAATCAATCACTTGCTACTTTGAAGCGCTCTTAAAAATGCAGTGCATTATCACTCGTGACAAACCGAAACGTCATGCAGAGTGTGATAGCGTTTACAATTATTAGTACATAATAATTATGTTGGCTTGAAACACTGCGGGATATATACACGAGAACAGTTCGCACCGGGAATGCATTCGCGATGTTTGCTATCCCATTGCCCAAAATGACGCAGTTCTAGCAACCCTTAACATTTTAGCATCGTTCACATTGTGCAAGAGGGCATATGATATATGCGATATGTTCTACATGGTTGCTCATATAAAAAAAATACACTTGCGTCACCAAATCACTGCACATTTCGTTAGGTGAATGCAACGTACTCATTACCAAGTTACGCACCTAAGCTGCAATTTCATACAAAGTCCCACTTATCTAAACGTGAAATAGAAACTAACTCGCGCCTTATGTACGGTAA